ACAGAAATTACAGCCAACAAATATCTTCAACTTACTTTGATCCAAATGATAGAGGAAGAAATTATGTTTATATATATATATATATACACATATATATATAAAAATATACACACACGTATATGTATGCATCTATGTTAAGGTATATGCATATATATAAACATTGATGTATAGTATTATAATAGATAATACGTACTATAGTGAAAGCAAAACCTGGCAAAAAACTATATAGCTGATGAAAAATTAGTGACCTTGAAGATATATGTGAAACACAGTAATTGAGATGGAAGATTAAATGTTACAACAATTATTGATTGCAGTTTAGATATAGAGAAGACAAGAATGAAGAAAAGACAATATTTAAAGAAATAATGACTAGAACTTTTCTAGGATTACAAAAGGTATAAATCCAAGTTGTTTGTACAAAATTCCAGCAGGGTAAATAAATATAAATTCATATACATATTATCACATGTCAAAGAAAGAAAAAAAAAGTCTTAAAAACAGGCAGAACAGAACAGTAAAAAACAGATTACCTGAAAACAATAGACAAATAAAAATAATTGTCAATAAGAAAAATATAGTTTAAATGAAGTGAAATAATATCTAGCTGCCAACCTAGAATGCTGACTCATAAAATGAAATTTTTCAAATTAAAGTAAAATAAATATTCTTAGTTAACTAAAACGGGAAAATTTATTATGTGGATCTTAAACATCTATATGTAGATATCTATATATCTACACTGAAAGAAGAAGGGAAGAAGATGAATCTAAGCCAACACAATGAAATAAGAAATACATTTCATGAAACAATTTCAGGGAAAAGCATATTTTGTTATCAAATAAAAGATGAAAAAGATGTTTAGGAAGGAAAAAACTGAAAATCTAAATACGTTAAAAAAAAAGAAATGCATTGAGCAATATTCCCTAATTATTGTAAATATATGCATCTCCCCATACTGATTCACAGACACAATATAATGTGAATCAAAGTCACATTATGATATTGCATGGAACTAACAAGATGACTCTAACACTGTCTCACAACAGCATGTATATAAGGATCAAGAGTAGGAGGAAAACAGAACTGAGGATTAAATAAAGTTCTAGCAGTTAAGGAAACAGAGCAATTAAACACTGAACAGTCTAAACCAGACTCTTGCATTTATGTAACTTTCCTATGATAGAGAATCCACTGTAGATCAGAAGGAAGGGATGGGTTGTTTAGTAAATTTTGCAGGGTAAATTGGTTGTTCACAAAGAAAAAATGATTTTGAATCTCTGTATATTTTGTTATACAACTTTAGATGGTTTTAAGAAGTGACTATAGAAGGCATACTTTTTTAATGTTTGGAAGAAAGTATAATAATGACAAAATCATTAACCAAAAATATCAATGTAGGAGATAGAGGCTAAAAAAAGGTCCAGAGCTCAAACAGGGCCTGGAGATAGTCAAGCTCCAGTCAGCCAAAATTGGGAGTGGAGATTCTTAGTGATTACTGGAGACATTGAGAGAGAGAACACACACAGATCACACCTTAGTAGCAGAGCTGAATTACCCCTAGATTATAGTGAGGCAGGGATAGATCTTGAGTAGCATTAGTCTACAGGTAATTGTTTGCCATGCATCATGGAGCTACGCATCCACTGTTTCTTAATCTGTAAATTCTAAAAAGAATCTCTATGCAGATTTCTGGAGCTCTCTGCCTACATAAGTTCCTCTTTTTCTCACAACAATCCAGCGCCCTCAGCCACCTTCAGCTCTGACCTCAGTTTCCTCCTTTCAATAGCAACATCACACCAGTATCCTCCTCTTTGCACTGTAGTACAGAATGTGTTTCTAGGAGAAAAACACAGGGCAGTCACTGAGCTCACCTCAGTTGTAATCTTTTTCCTCAGAGTTCACAGTTCTGCACTGACTGCTGTACAGTGTTAGGAAACTGGATGCAATACATGAAACAGTTTTTCAACTGTTTTTGGTTGGAGAGCGAACTAAATTTCTACAATAATGATCACCTCTAAAGGAAAAGTAAAGTGAGTTTTACACAATAGATATAATAATAGTAACATGATGATGGGTTTATGAATGCATTTTTAAAACTCCTGTGTCATACATATAAACACACACTGCTTTGCTTTATCAAATATTACAAAAACTAAAGGACTAGAGGCAGGATAAAAAGTTAGATGATTACTACCATATGGGAGAGATAGTATTAATTTGAACAGTCTAATGAAGGTGGAGGTGGTACATAGTGATTAGCTTTAAGTTCTGCTGTGAAGGCAGAGTTTTAGGATTGGCTAATGGGTGAGTCCCAGGATATGGAGAAAGAGTTTAGAGAAAGATAACTTTCTATACCCAAGATACTGGATTAATTTATGTGTTTTGGCAAAAATGTGAAAAACTGAGCCATGAGCAGATTTGAAAGAGAATTAATCAAACCTCAGGTTTGATATTGTGAGTTTGAGATGCCCACAAGACTTCAAAGTGGAGATACAGTAGAGGTATTTCATGAGAGAGTTCAGGGTAAAATATTAATTTGGAAGTAGCTGTGCACATATGAGATTTAAATCTAAACACATAAATAAGATCATGTAAGGAATAAGAATCTTTAGAATAGAAAATGGGGCCAAAGCTCTTATACACTACGCTGTACAGAAAGCTTCTGTAGGGTGAGGAGTTAGGGGAAAAAATGAGGAAGAACAGAGGGTCACAGAAAAACTTGGAGGATGAAATCTATTGGATGTTTGAAGAGAGAAAAGAAGTTGTTAAACACTCATTTCAGAAAATAGATATTAAGGAAAGATGAGGAAACTAAACAAACTAGTGCCCACTCTATGTCTGTCAATTTGGCCTATCCAAAAAAAGAATAAAAAAAGAAAAAAGAGGAAGAAGAAAGAAAGAGGAAGAAGAAAGGGTGGGGAAAGCGTGAATAAGACATTTGACATTGAAGTGTCAAACCCATTTACATGTGATGACAGAACCAGTAAGAGTAGACAGAAAAATGAATGTTTTGGAAACCATGCAATTTATTATGTATATTAGAGTTTAATTTTGTAAACATAATAATTTATTGCTGATGGTGCTTAAATGTATTTATTTATCATCTGGAGCTTTGTAAAGAAGCCCAATTATTCACAGAGACAGGCTCAGTATATTACTGTGTAACTTGTCCTTTGTAATGTAACTTTGTAAAATGGAGCTGGTGATTCAGATTGCCAGCTTATTCACCAGCATAAAATTCGTTTCCCTTGATAGTGCTAATAATAACACAGTGTCTCTCCTAGGGAGACAAACAGATTGTGCAAAGTCATTTACTTCTGCTACTGTTAAAGGATGCTACAAAAATGATTATCTCCTATGTGAAATATCCTAAAGGAAAAATCATCTGGTGATAAATATTTTAATTTTTAAGTCTAAAGCAACATCCTATTCTCTTTTATTTACATGTAGATATGGTTCCCTCTGTCTAGAGCCTCTATTTTGTTTTTTCAGAACAGTGACTAAAATTTATTAATTTTCAGATAAACTTCAGTTCTTTTAGTGGTCACCTTCATGCCTACTTCAAATATTCATCACAAAGAACAGTAAGAGAGCTTTGACCTGAGCAAGTAGAAAGTTACTTTCACTCATTATGAACTGTGTTCACTCACTGTAAGTAAAACGTTAGCTTTATGGCATTTGCAATTGTATTTTTTTGGTTTTAAAAGCTGCTTAAAGATATTATTTTACAAAGAATTAAAAATCAAAAGGGAAGAGTAATATATACCAATAAACCTGTTAACTGAAATGGACACTTTTTGAAAGACAGAAAGAAAGAAGAAGAAATAAAAAATTCAAATAGTGCCTTATCCGTGAAAGAAACGGAAATCATAATCAAATCTTTCTTATACTGAAAATTCCATATGAGATGACCTTGCCAGTGGATTTCATATAACATTTTTAGAAGAAATTATACAGATTCCATACAAAAACCTTTCAAAACACAGAGGGTGAAATTTGTTGTATGATAACAGCATAACCCTCAATCCAAAATCTGATAAATAAAATAAGAAAAACTCAGATCAATTTCCTCATAAACATAGACACAAATATCCTTAATGTAATATTAGCACTTTGATTCCACTCATATACAAAATAATATATTTTGTAAAATACTTTTACCATGACTGTAGTATTTTTGACATTAAACATTATTCAATTCCCCACATTATTATAGAATAAAGAAGAAAAAAAAAGTGGTTGCATCAAGACACAAGACAGAATAAGAATTTAATAAAATTTAACATCCACTCGTGATCAAACTGATAAAAAGTTTCTTAAAACATACATACATACTGGTGAAATATGAAGGCATCTGTGGTGAATTTTACAAAGCATTTAAAAAGAATTAATACTAACTTTTCACTAATTCTTCCAGAAAATAGGGGAGGCAAGAATACTTCTAAAGTCAGCCAAAGATATCACAGGAAAAGGAACTTATAAAGTAATAACTTCTTATGAATATAGACATAAAATTTCTCAAAAAGAATACTAGCAAGTCCAAACCAGCAACATTAAAAAGAGTATATATCAAGACTAATTAGGTATTATCACAAAATGGCAAGTTTTTTTTTAACATTCTAAAATTACTATAATACATCATATTAATAGAATGAAGGGGGAAAACATAGGCTGCTAACAGAAAGAGTATCATACAAAATATAACACCAATTAATGATAAAAACACTTAACACACTAGGAATAGAAGAGAATTTCCTCAACTGATAAAGGGCACCACCAATAAAAACCCTGCACGTAACATCACATTTAATGGTGAAAAACCAAGTGTTTCCTCCAGGCCAAGATTGAAAGCAAGACAAGGGTATCTGATTGTACTAGAGGTTTTAGCAAGGAAAATTATGCAAGAAAATGAAATTTTAAAATTCAGATTGGGAAGGAAGAAGTAAAACTATGTTTACTCACATGATCTTGTATGTAGAAAGTCCCAGGAGAGCCACTAAAAATCTACTAGAACTAATGAATACATTCAGCAAGGATACAAGATCCAAGATCAATATACAAAAATCATTTGCTACACCAGTAATAATAAAAACATTGTAAAAATCGCATCCATATAAGTAGCAAACATACATAGGGATGGGCTTAATAAAAGTATTATATTTATACTTAAAACTAAGAATGTGTTGAGAATGATTAAAGGTATACATAAATGGAAGGCATTTCATGTTCGTGGATCAAAAAACTTATAGTTAAGATGGCAGTATTCCCCAAATTGGGTAAATGAGTCAATAAATTTTCAACTAAAAGTCCCACCTGACTTTTTTGTAGAAATTCAAGAACTAATTTTAAAATTTATATGGAAACAAAAAACCCCAATGACCAAAAACAGTCATGAAAAAGAACAAAGTTGGAGGGCTCACACCTGTGAATTTCAAAACTTAATATAACAACACAGAAATCAAAGCTGTGTAGCAGTGTCATAAGGAGGGGTATAAAAGATCAATGGGACAGAATAACACTTATGAGCAACTGATTCTTAACAAAGGTGTCAAGACAATTTAGTTGGGGAAGGAATAGTTTTTTGAACAGCAAGATATCTACCTTCAAATGGATGAATTTGGACCCTCACCTCACACAATATTTAAAAAAAACCACCTCAAAATGAATCCACAGAACTAAATATATGAGGTAAAACTATAAATCCTTAAAAGAGAACATACATAGGAGTATGTCTGTGTAATCCTGGTTAGGAAATTATTTCTTAGATAAGAAAGTGAAGGTGTAACAAAAGACAAAATAGATAAGTTGTATTACATCACCCAAAATATGCTGCAAATTGTATCAAGAAAGTAAAAAGAAAACCCACAGAATGAGAGGAAGTATTTTCTAATAAAGATCTGATAGTGGGCTTATCTACAGAATATAAAGACCTCTTACAACTCAACAATTAAAAGCCAAATATTCCAATTTATAAAGAGTATAGAGAATAGAAAGGAGTGATATCAGTAGGGCAAAATAAGAAGTCCATAAGAATAGGAAGAGAGAAGATCTTGTTCCCTCACAGGAACACCAATTTAACAGCAACACAAGAAGTAAAAATACCTTTACAAGGTATCTAGAAACCAGGTAAGAAGATACAGTACCTGTTAGAGCATAAAACCATGAACAGCTGCACGAACAGGAGTAATAACAATTTCACCCTTCCAGACTCAGGCCTTCCCCCAGGCAGGTACCGCTCAGTGCCTACAGAGATCACCTCAGCCTGAAGCTTCCCCTTGAGGAGACAGGGAGAAGGGAGGATGAATGTCCAACATCCCTGCCCTTTCAGTGCGGTTCCTGAGATACCAGCGTCTGCCTCTCCTCCCAGTGAGCACTGAAAGAAACAGCAGTCTGGACACCTAGTTCAGCAAGGAACAAAGGGAGAGGGGCTGCCAGCTTCCTGTGACTGTCATGACTGAGATTTGGAGAAGGCACAGAGCTGAGGCTTCTCCTCCCTTCGGGAGGAGAGGAGCATGGTTCCATCATACCTGTCTTTCAGTGCACTGATTTCTGTTTCACCTCCTACTGAGAGAAGTCATAGTCAGACACTAGAGGAAGTAAGAGAATATGAGTGGCTGAAAGAAAAAAAAAGGAAAGAAAGAGAAAAAAGACTGTACATCTAGGGCAACTAGGAACAAAGCCCCAGAATCTCTCGCTAGACTGGGGAGTCTTTCCTAGTCAAAGCCAGTCCATAAATAGCTGGGAGAGGTGATTGCTTTTTCAAATGTGCAAACACCATCACAAAGCTACAGGGGACATGATTTTTCAAGAAAATATGATACAATCAAAAGAAAAATCTTTACTAATCAACCCTAAAGAATGGAGATTTAGAAATTGACAAAGAATTCAAAATAATTATCTTTAAAAAGCTTAGTTACTTATAGGAGAACATAGAAAACTAAATGAAAGCATGAAAATGATAACATAAACAAAATGAGGATATCAACAAAGAAAAACAATTAAAAAGAACCAGACAGAATTTCTGTTTTATACTCCATAAAATGGTAACCAAAAGAGAGCAGGAATGACTATACTTATATCAGAAAAAGACTTTAAGTCAAAAATTGTCACAAAAAAATTGTCACAAAAGACTAACCTCCAAGCACTTAAATGTAAAAAGGGAGAAATATACAGCAATACTGTAACAGTAGGAAACTGTTGCCCTATTTCCAACAGTGGACAGCACATCCACACAGAAAGCCGATACGGAAACAGTGGGCTTAACACTGCAGTCCAATAATACACTTAACAGAAATATACAGAACATTCTACGCAACAGCAGCAGAATACACATTCTTTTCAAGTACACATGGAGCATTCTCTAATAGATCACATGTTAGATTACAAGACAAGCCTTAGCAAATTTAAGATGTTTGAAATAATACCAAGTATCTTTTTCTGACCACAATGGAAAGAAAACAAAACTGGAAAATTCACAAATATGTGAAAATGAAACAACACACTTTTCAACAACAGTTGTGTCAATGTAGTCCTGCCAACATCTTGATTTTAGTCCCGTAAGACCCATATTTTTTGACTTCTAGAACTATAAGGTAATAGTTTTTTTAAGCTACCAGCATCTGTGGCAATTTGTTACAGCAGTAATAAGAACCTAATACAGAGTTAGTACCATTTATTGTCATGTTCCTAAGTTACAGAAATTTTCTCTAGTGAACCTAGCATACTATCACAATGCAATTAGAAATCTCTATCATTTAAAAACAAGAAAGCTCCCATGACGTATTAGCTCCCGTCATGGAAGGATGGGATATTCCATTTAAAAGTTTTATTGGAAAAATGGTATGTTCTCTTTCAGGGCTTTAATTTCATAAATCTCCTATGTACTAAGAAATAAAAATAACAGTAATAGTCTTTATTCCAAATGGAATGTACCAGAGAATGTAGAACACAACTCTATTTTGGCAAATCCCTTAGCCAAAGTACTCTGGGCCATTGTATTAATTTACAAGATAGGTCAGGTGGAGTCTTTGCAGATTCTTATGCATATAGTCCCCATATGATGTACTGAGACTTAAGAAGCAGTCTTTGGAGCCGTTCCATGTAAAATTGCATGTTTCTATAGCCCATTTTTAAGGTCCCTACCCAAGAACTTCACTTATACATTTACTTAATCATTAGTTGGCATTGCAGCTGGTTTAGAACAATAAGGAAATCTGTCTTGAGGATTTGTAATTGCCCGATACCTTGCATGACAATCTCTTTCATGGGCCCACACCAAAATACAGGATTGCTGCAGAATAAGATGTAGCATAAATGCTTTTGAACGAGATAGACTGAAAACCAGTGCAGGGCTCCCTCTGTGCAGGAGATTTTTCAGGGCCACGTTGCTGCAATTTGACAACTGCTCTCTGGTTCCTGTGCTGCATGGCAGCCGGCAGCATCTACCACTTACCATCTTTCACCAGCAAATCTCCTTGTGCCTTTAGTAAGAGATATCCCTTTGAGCTGTTTCTGTAGAGTGGGAACTTGCATCCGTTTCTACCAGCATGGCACCACGGTGATTTGTCTGCCTTTTAGTGAGTCATGGTTATGCCTTCACCATTCCTGTCTAGATCTCAGCCTGGGTGGGGTAGGGAGCTCTTCCTGAGGCATGCTCTAAGCCCTCGGGTAGCGGATGCTTTTTATATCTGCTCTTTCCACATTGTTTAGGTCTCCCTTTACTTCTTACTAGTCAATTTATTATTACCCAAATCTCCTATTAATGTTAGCAATTCTTTATTTTTTCTTTCATTGATATCTTTATTGATGTCAATACATCTTTTTTATTTTTAATTTTTTTTAATTTTGAAGTATAATTGGTTTACAATGTTGTGTTCATTTCTGGTGTACAGCATAGTGATTTAGTTATCTATATGTGTGTGTGTGTATATATATATTCCTTTTCATATTCTTTCTCATTATAGACTATTACAAGGTATTGAATATAGTTCCATGTGCTATTCAAGTAGGACCTTGCTGTTTATCTATTTTATATATAGTGGTTCATATCTACAAATCCCAAACTCCCAATTTATCCCTCCACCCTCTTAAAGTTAACAATTCTTTACATTAAACTTTCCCTATTCAAATCACTGTGTAGTTTCTGCTTCAACTGGACCATAACTAATGAATTGCCTGAGTGCTTTGCAATCCACAGAAGCTCAACTAACAGTTGAACAAGCAAACAGATAGATGAGGAGTGTTCACTAATTTTCAAAACCAGTGGAGGGGACAGGGCAAAACAACAAAAATCTCATGGGCATAATTAGAAATGGCTCATGAAGAGTTTGGCCAATGTGGCATGTTGCACAAATTTAGTAGCTATTTCTGAACAGAATCAGGGAAAGCAGAGACTGATAACAGCATTGCTACACAATGCTTCTTTTCAGCCAGACTTGGCAATAACCTCAGTAATTTGTCAGCAGAACTGCTACTAGTGGAAAACCTGGCATGAAAAGTTATACCTTGGGAAGGGTCATCTGTAGTTCTGGAATAAAACCATTATTACAATGCAATCACTGAAACTGATGTGGGAGCATGGTAGGGATATGGGAGCAATGCTTATTTGACTATACCCAGCAAATTGTGTTTGAGTAAGTATTATTGATTGATTTGTTTTTTCCACTTCTGTGCTATTTGAAGTGCAATCTCAACTGCTATTCAGAATTTTTGAAGCATCTAGCTAGTTGGCTTTAACCACAAAACAGTTATCTGGGCATCAGAAGCCTCCTGATATTTCTGGAGAAGCTGACCATGTTTGCATACTTGTTGGCCTCAGGCTTACCGAGAGGAGGGTATCTCTAACCTCCTACAGAGCTAATGCTTTACTCTTCAGTGCCATTTTGCAGCATAATACATTTTGAAAGCTCCATTTCTAGCTGTTTTGAACAGAAGTTGATCAAGGCATATCCCATCAGTTTATATCTAATATTTAGGGATACAATTTATCAAACAAAATTAAGCAACAAAAAACAAGACAAAAAGATAAAAGACTGATGTACTCTATTAGTTTTTAAGGAGATAAAGTCTCTTCAAAATATTAAAAATAGGTAATATTAACAATTAAAGTTATATGATTATCATAGAACAAATCAAAAGTATTATAAAAGAATGTTTAAAGTTGGCAAGGCCTAAACTTTGAAATTGTTTTTATTTTATGTCTTTCCCTTTACATTTTTAGATTTATGTTAGCTTGCTGGTAATGAGACTGTTTTCCATTCCCTTGGGATATTACTGATAGTTCAATATGAGATATGACATCTAACAATTAAAGGTTTCTAAAAAGGAGTCTGTCTAAAAAGAACAAATGAAAGACTGAGGATGTGAAAAAAAAAAGAGAGAGATCACAGAATAGAGGAAAAGAAAGAGCTAAACAGGACAAGAAAATGACTGTGTATTTCTAATTGAAAGTTGATACCAAGCTGATGCCATGGGGTCTGCTTTGACAATTCAAACTTATAAAAAAATCTGTGAATGCCTTTCTTTTTTAAGCTACTTATCTTAGACACGTGGAGAATCACCTGACATACGGAGTCTCAAAGACTGTAGTAAACTCTTGTTACATACTGATTTCTCATTCCAATTAAGGTAAATTATCTGAAATAAATACTTTCTCTCAACCAGGAAAAACCTTTTTTCTCCTTGAGTCAACCAGAATTTGTATAAATTCAGAGGGGAGGACATTTATCATTAAATG